GCTGTATCGTCAGCAAATTTAATAACAGGGCACATACAATGTGCTGATCTGTAGTCAGCCGTGTAAAGGCTAAATAAAAAGGGGGAAAGTACAGTTCCCTGAGGAGCGCCCGTATTGGACCTAATTGTATTTGACTTTACGTCTTTATCTAAATTCAAATTGAGAAAGCGAGCGAGCAGTGTCGACCGTATGAACAGCGCCACCAAAAGGGGTGAGTCTAATTTTGACTAATTTACTGTGTTAATTGTCCAGTGAGCATACGACACAAAGTTTTCATTATTTTGTATTTTGTGTTTCATCTATGTTTCAGGCGGGGGTTGTTTCGTTTCGTTTCGCATTGTTTTTTTTTTTTTGTTTTTTGTTTTGTTTTTAGTTTTTTTAATCAGACCGTTGAGACACAGTCGAACACTGCAATCCGATGACGCTCCATATTCGGTGTAGTTGTAGAGCACCACCACCGACATAAAAATTTGTTTTACATAGTAGAGAAATTCAAACAAATTACCGCGAAAACAAAAAATGCAAAAAAATAGAAATCTTTAATATCTTTCAAATTTTGATAGGGCCCCGGTGTCTGATTTTGAAGCCAACATGGGCGAATTCGAAAGGGAGGCTCAGCGTGCTGGGTATGTAGGTATAACTAATTTATTACATTGTAGGGTCTGTTTGTATGTAGGGCCTAGTGTTATAGTGTCAGAGTAGGCCTAGGCATCATCACAATTTACACGCGCGGAGGACGGTTTTTGATAGGTAGGCCTGCCTGCTAGGCTTGGTTGGCTAGCTAGGGCCTAGGCCTGAATTTTCGACTGGGCCTACCAGTCTTGATACCCGTACCGTAGGGCCTAGGCCTATTTAGGCGTAGGGAGAATCGCCAAACGGCCTACCCTAGGGCCTAGCTAAAAGATATGAATAAGGGCAGATTTCCACACATATTTAGTTTTAGCCGAAATTTAGGCTATCTAGGACCAGGTAGCCTAGCTAGGGTAGGGCCTAGGCTAGCCTATATATTTAGTCCTAGGCCCTGATAGGTAGCTAGGCCTAGGGAGGGGCCTAGACCCAGGAGCACACAAAAAATTATATCCTTCAATTGACTTCAAATATAGTTCAAATATAGTTTCACATTAATTTAATGGGAAGAATACAAAAATTGGTTGAGTATTTATAGAGTTATGCTAAATTTAATAAAACAGAATTTTTTTCCCAATTTATGGACTTTGGCTATGCAATTTAAAGGATAAGAGGCCTTTTGTGGAAATGAAGGGAAGATGCCAGTGGAGGAGTTGGCAGCCAAGGACCTCCTTGATGGCAGAACACTAAAGAAGAATGCATGCACCGCGTGTACAGCCTAGGCTAGCTAAGCCTCGCAAGTCTCCTCTCTGCATGCGTTCTGGTAGCTACACTATGACACATCTAGCCTAGGAGATTTAAACACTCGGGTCACAGAGTCTTATTAAATTAAAAATAACATTACATAAAGATAATATGTATATATTAAACGGTTTAAAAATTATCGGAGAACATCGTCCGAATGTTTTTTTGGGTTTTTTTTGTAATACTCAAAGTCCAGGAAAAGACCCAATTTGACCCCAATTTTTTTCCAATATGGTCACACTTTCCTTTTTGGGATTTTGACAAGCGTCTAGGCAATGCCTGTGCAGTAATGATGGTTCTCGGGAAGATAGGCTACAGTCTCCACATCACCTCGGGGCAGTAGATTTCACCATTCCCCTCATGAATTTGATATTTGTATACTATTACCATACTGTAAAATTAAAGTATGTAATTGCACGGATGATATGTTGATCTACTGTTGATTGGTGTCTGTTTTTCATTTTTATTGTACTTAATTTTCTAGGTTATTCAGTGGACCACTGTCTTCTTGCGAGTCTGAGCTTCAAGAATTAATGAGGCAGATAGACATCATGATGGCCAGTCGTAAAAGGGAATGGGAGATGGAGATACATGCATTGCAAGCAAGACTTGATATCAAAGACAAGGAGTTAATAACCTCCAGAGCTCAGATTGAAACAAAGCACAAAGAGGTATCAATTGTAATGTTTTCCGTTAACTGTACTTTCAGCTTATTAATCTGAACATTTTTTTTTTTTTTGATAATTGAATTTTTGGGTTCCACTTTATACACTCTAATATGTTTCTGTGGAAACCTTTCATTTTTAACTTTAATGACTTAACAACCTGGTATTTTGGCATACTGTAATAACCGATCTTTATTTAATTCTTCTTTTTTTCATGTGGGGACTGAACAATAGTCATTTATATAATAATTATAATTTTTTTTTTTTTGTGACTTTACAAAGGAGACACAAAAACATCAAAAATTTAATTCCAGGATCCATACTTTACAAGCACCTCTAACTAATTGTCATGCCCTCGTAATACATGTAACAGGAAGGTGAAAAATAATAAAAATATTAATATACTGTTAATCAATAACTACTGTATACATCACCATTATTAAACATAGTTTCAATGAATCATGTCAAGGAAGACTATGAGTGTTTTGTGTATGATGTATTCTAGCTACAGTGTGAGAATAGTAGGCCTATTTGGTAATAATTTGTTGTAGTACCTTTAATTCATAAGAAAATTGATGTTTAGCATAGTTAATTAGAAAGACAATTTCAAACATGTTATTGTTAGCATTGACTGAAACCCAGTTTATTTTTGAAAACAAAATGAGACAAAACTGTTAGTTATTAATATCAATTTTCTGTCCCATAATTGTTTATCATGAAAAAAGTTCTGACAAAATGTCAAACTTGATTTAAATAGACAAATTCCCTTTTAAATTTCTTCAAATGTGGCAAAGCCAAGCCAAACTAGTCACTCATCACAAATTTTGTTTTAGAGGTAATGACCAACAATTTGGTGATGGTTTCTGCCTGATAAATGCCCGAAATCATCAACGTTGAAGGCTGATTTATCAAATATTGTTCTTTAAATAGCTCTATGTTTAAATGCTTGCTTCATAAGGAAATGTCAGATTTAAATGATTTTTTACCATTTTATAGCTCTCATTTTACTGTTTAACCCTGTATTAATAACTAAAAATCATATTTTGCGACCAGTAACTCGTTTGGCTTGTCTTTGCCGCAAATGGTTACGTCTAAATTGGAGATTTTAGTAAACAACCACAGATATGTTTATTTATATGCATTTTACTCTTGCAAAATACTTCAACAAAATACATGTACCAGTAATAGATTGTTCCCAATATAAACATTCATAGAATATAAAAATCTTTTTTTAGGTTGGCCAACTGCGTCACAGCCTGCAAATGTCAGAATCGTCCCAGCAAAATATAACCACACAATATGATCAACAGATATCGCAACTAAGAAAGGAGGTAATTTCATATTATGTGTGTATTGAAATGTATGTTAATACCAAAAAATACATGGTTTTGTTGCTCAAGTAAAAGTAACAATTCGCAGTCAGTTGCTGTCTGGAATGTTATGTCTCCTTTTGGTTGTCTTGCTACAACATAATTTATATCAATAAAACCATTGTCTGCAGATACATTAAGGGTAATATAATAATATTTAATACTTTGTAAAGGACAATACAAAATAATCACAGGTACATATATTCTCTACAATAATTAAAATACATTAAAATTATTAAATTTAAATATTAATTAAAAAACTATTTAAAAAAGAGATATATTTGACTCTCATTCACTAAACAAATTGGTAAATTTAATTCCATATTTGAATTGCATAATTTTATATAATATTTAAGTAAGTTATTAACTTACAACTAAAAATTTGATAAGAAATGTGAATTACCTGTAACAGAGAGTTAAAGAAGACCTTTCCTATTCATTTGAATGGACTTTTAAATTGGCTGGTAATCAATTAAAGAATATTTGTAGTAAATTCTCTTTAAATAAGCAAAATCTAATTCATTTTTTGATCAGTTTCTGGTTGGAATGTAATAACTTGATTGATCTTTTTTATGAACTATTTTTTTATTAATTTTTTTTTTTTTTTGAGGTTTTTTCCCAATTTTTTTAGATAAGGCAGCACATCTTTATATTGTTTTATTTTACAGCTTAGTGGTCTACAAAAGGATTATGAAAGAGTACAGAAACATCACAGCAGACTGGCTGCTACATCGCAGAAACACAGGGATGACAAAATAGAAGAAGCAAGTAGACTAGAAACTGATTTGCTTCAAGCTGAGTTACTCATTAAGGTTTGTTAATCATGCCTTACTACTGTATATAAGTGGAACAAGGTTGTGGCCACTAATATTGATAATAATGGTCATGTACTACTGTTTATATAAGTAATTTTATTCAATATTCACATATTCACCTTCAAAATGGTTCATGGGTTGCATTATAGCAAAACAATACTAACACAAAGTAAAAATTTAATATAGAAAAAAAAAAACAAATTTGAAAATGTACATTTTCAGTACAAAGGACATTATACAGTTATCAATAAAACAAAATTGATCATAAATTTATGAAATTCAAGAACTATAGTCTATATATCATCTTTTATTCAGTAAAAAGATATACAAATAGAGGAAAAATTAAATTCATTGGCAGCCAAATGCTGAATTGAGGTTTTTGACATAGGTCTAGGCAAAATGTATATATGACATATTGATATTGTACTGTATTTTTAAATGTATAAATTTGATATACACTTCCTTTACAAATTCAGTTACGGTTTGTCATACACAGTTTTTAATATGAAGTCAATTAACCGACTGTTATTTAATTAAAAATAATATAAAATCTGGTGAAGCTTTATAAATCAGAGTTGTTCCACACTAATTATATTATAGCCTCAGTCACACAAGTTCTGTTTCACAATTATAAAGACATTTTATTCAGTCTCCGACCTACCAGTCACAATTTTTTTTCATGGCCGTCTCTAGCGGATTCATGATGTTTGCATGTTGTAACTGTATCAGCTGTCTGCTGGTTATCTTGTAGTTATCACCATGCGCAGGGGGTCCTGCTTGTATGCAGCCCTCAAAATCCAGTGTAATTTTTTTCAACTGTTAGCCTATTTGATTTTGTAGGATTTTGAAGAGAAGGCTAAAGCTTGGGAAGCACAGAGAAGGATCTATAAACACCAGGTTGAGAGTCTTGAATCTCAGAGGAAGACTCTGGCAGACAAAAATCAACTGCTCCTGGTGAATACACAAAATTAAAGAATTTTTTAAAAAGATTGTTAGATTATATGTTGTTGTTGTTGTATTGTGTTGTAGATATTCTCAATGATGTTGATATTGTTGTTGATATTGTTTGTTGATATTGATGTTGTTATTGATATTGTAGAACTGCTTATTGAGATAGTAAACCAAGCATAGTTTATGTAAACTTACTCCAAGCTTTCATCAATGTTGTTAACATGATCAATTTTGACTTAGCTCGCAGTAAGTGTACATCAAGTGTGCTTGGTTTACTATCGATGAAACAGTTCTACAGCTATAATAAGCAAACCAGATTAAACTGTTTGAATAGTTATTGATGTTGTTATTGTTCAGTGCAATATATTTCGTATATATTTCCAGAATTGTTATCTGGCACACACAGTGAATTTAAGTCCAAATTTGATTTGTACAAAATAGATTTCATATACAAATAATAGTATTTTCATTAATTTTTGGTTACTTTTTAGCAACAAGTGGAGAGCTACCGGGAAGAATTGGCAAAAACAAGGCAAGCAAATGAGCAGCAAGATCTTAATTACAAGTCCAGAGTTGTTTACTGTGAGGCTGAATTAAATCGGGTTCATGATAAATTAAATGAGAGGGATAGCAGGATTGCTGCCTTAGAAGACAATTTGCAAGAAATTACTAGCAAAAAAACAACTACTGCTGATGAAAATATAAGGATGAAGACAGAACTACAAAGAAGGAATAAAGATGTCCAGGTACTAAAAACAATAAAAGCTACAACCTATATGTGTGAAATTAATTAAGGCACAGGTGGGCAAAAAATGGTCTGTGGGATACATGCGGCTTAATGACAATTTTTTGTGAAGATACATTAAAATTTGTATTTGTGCCTAAATATAGTCATAATGACATCACATCATGACCATATATAGGCACATTATGACTATATATGGGCACATCCTGACTATATATGGGCATTCAACAGTTTTTTTATCAAAGAAATTGTGATAGTCTGGACAGAGCCATACACTAATTTAATTGTTACACTTTAAGATTGATAAAGTTTTTGTTTCATTAAAGTTTAATCCGAAATAAAACGTTTCCTCCTTACAGCGGCTGGAAGATGAAATGACACAGCTGCGTATTGAAATTCAGTCACGTGACGATCTTATAAAAGTCAGCGAAGAAGACACCCATCTCCAAAATAAAGAAATATCACAATTACAAGAAAGTCTGGCACTCAAAGACAATGTTATAAGGTAAACTAGAGCGTTTGCTGATTAATCATATGATAATAAAGACGTGTATCCCTCCCCTTTTCTCTTTTAATTCTTTGCATTTTGGTAAGATGTGTGCTTTTACAGTTTAGAAAACTTTTGTTTGTAATTTGGCAACATTATAGATAGCTGTAATTGAAAGTTTAATTCTACAAGCTTTTTCTATCCAATTGCATTTTCAGTTTTACATTACAAATTATATTACCAGAGATATGAAGTTTTAAAAAGGTATCAAGATTTTTGCGACACCCTGTACACAAACTAGTGTACTACAGTACTACACAATTTTTGATCTTTACACTTTACAGTATTGCAGGGGCATAGAAAAATCTGGGTGGGGCCAATCCGAAGTGTAAAGCACTGAGTGGATGGGGGATGTCGTATGAAATTTTTGTTATATTTTTATAATATTATAAAATAGCTTGTTTTGGAGTGGACTTACGGTACCCTGCTTCCCCCCTGGATCCACCCCTGTATTACCTGAATATCTCCATACGACTAGATGGGTAGGGAAGGCAGGGGATCAATTGCAACATACCAGACCATCTTTTTCCTTTTGATATTTCAGAACACTGAAATCTCAGAGTAAATTGCAAGAGTCAATGGAGTTTGATCAACTAGCAAACCAGTTGGAGGAAAAACAGAGGGAGAACAAAAAACTACACGAAAATGAGAAAACGTTACGGGATGAGATTCTTCGACTTCAACACAGGTCAGTAACACTCTCTACTAGAAGTATAGGTAGTCCCATCTTATTAATGAATGTAGGTCATCAATTGATTTATTTTTTTTATTTGTTTATTTATGTAGTAATTAATTGATTTGGTTATTGATTGATTGGTTATTAATTGATTAAAGAGTGGTTGAATGATGGAGTATTGCTTGGTTGATTGATTATTGTTATTTTTTTTTATTTGTTTATTTATGTAGTAATTAATTGATTTGGTTATTGATTGATTGGTTATTAATTGATTAAAGAGTGGTTGATTGATGGAGTAGTGCTTGGTTGATTGATTATTGTTATCGTGTTTATAGTCTTGATGACACACACCGAGAATGTGCTCAACTTAATTTGGAGCTAGCAAGTAAGATAGATGAACTGAGACACCTTGAAGGAACAGAGCTGAAAGAGCGGAATGATACGTACACGAAGGTTTGTTTCTCATAAATAATCAGAGAGAGCAATCTAGCTCATTGGTGGGTCCTGTGTGTGCTCAGAACCATAGAGATCTCTAGGTCCCCGGTTCAATTCCCATCGCTGCTCTCCTTGTATTTCAGCAGGAGGGCTAAAATGCAAGTTGCTATACTGTAGCTCACAATCTGATGAGACTTTAGAGCTGTTGGTCCCATCTACATTATGGCCCATGTGCATATTAAAGAACACTGTACACTCGTTGGAAAAGAGTAGGGGATTGTCCCCCAGTGTACTGCCCAATCACCACCAGAAGAATCCCACTGTAAATAAGTCTTCTTCAGAATTTTTTCAGCTTTTCGTGGGTGTTTACAGCGTATAAATTTATTCATCCACCGATTAAAAAAACTATGCTGTGGGGAGAGGGTGGATGTAAAAAGATGGGGCAGAGCCTGTTGGATTGCTACTTTGATTTTTTGTTACTATGGCAACTGTAATACCCAAATTCTGGCCAAATGATAGATTGCTGGTTAAAATGTAAAGATTTAGTATTATCTTTTATTTTTTTATTGCAGAAAATAACAAATTCTATATTTAGTACTTTCTCAACTGTCTTATAATGTGGACCTTTTCCAATTTGGTTGGGGGTGGGGGGGTTGCACTCATTTATTGATGGTCATGTGAACAGGCCTGTTTCCCATTCTGTGAATTAGTACACGTGTGAATGTGGCTTCTGATTAGTCAATATACAATTGCTCTTTTCTGATTCTGTGACCAAATTTTGACCCAAAGTTATCCGAGAAATGCAGGAGTCAAGAAGATGTCTTTCAGTCTACATTGGAAGGAATGCGCAAAGAAATTGCTTCACTTACAAAAGACCTTCACGATCGGGACAAGGATGTGGCTTATTTGAGCACCAAAGTTTCTACATTACAAAATAAACTCACAGAGTCTTCAAGATTAGAAGATTCAAAGAATCAAATACAAGTAAGTTAATATTTTTTTTACTGAAGCAATTAAAGGCATTGAGTAGCCAATGGCATGATTTTGGTAGTGCTACAGTACTTCTAAGTTTATTTTCATAATGATTCTCTGTTGTTTTACTCTTCATTTTAATGTTTTTTTTAAGAACATCTAAACCATGATTACTTAATATTTTGATTGCTTTCCCCAAATTATTTTTGTAGGGTAGGCATTTAATTAGGGGTGGGGGATGGAACAGGACATTTATTCTTGGAATCATTTACAGAAAATGATGTTCTAAAGCTTTTATTCAAAGCAGGGAGCTTAATAAAACAGTAGGCAGGATTTCTAAGAAATTTGGGGTAGGGGACTCTATTTTTTTTCTTCTTTAAAAGACAGTTTGAGTCCACAATAACCTCAGCTCCACCATGGTTGGAGTGAATATCGTGTGTCTGCATAACACTCCAAATCCAATACATTAAATTATTGCAAAATGTCAAATGTTTGGAACTAAATTTAACAACTTCAAATTCAAAATAGTAAAATTCAAAATGGCATTTAAAAAGGGGTTTATTTGGAACATCTTCTTGAACCCCCCAGCTACAGGCTTTTAGTGAAAATATATACAGTTAGTTACAGACCAATAAAAGTATTGTAAGTAGTTTTACTACATACATCTTTAAATTTGTATTGTGCAGGTAGAGAATAGCTTATTGAGACAACATCTAAACACACTCCAACACCAAGTGGAATCGGCTGAACATAATCTAAGAGAAAGACTGAGCAACCAATTACAAGAAGCAGACATTTCCATTGCTGAGATGAAAGAAGATGAAGAGAGGTGCGATTTACCTATTTAAATCTATAATACTAGTTTTGATGTAGTGCAAGGTTTATAGTTTAGTATAAAAAACACCTTCTGAATCTGATGAATTTTTTTTAAGCCTAAATCAATTTTGTGGGGCTCTTCCCTGCTCACATACCTCATCTTTTTCTCTTTTTTTCTTTGCCATTCCCTCCCTTCCTCAAAAATAGTTTCCTGCTACTATTTCCTTTCCTATATTGATACCCTTCCCTTTTTTTGTGCCACCATTATCTTTCCTGCCCCTTTTCTTACTGCCTCTGTTCCTTCATTTTCCATCTTAGACAGTACCTACCCTCTGTTCTCTCTTCACATTTCTCACTTTGCCTCTTTCTTTCAGCATATCCATTCTTCGTTTTTCTTTCCCCTTCTCCTTTTCCCTCTTCTTCGTCGTAGTAATTTTCAACACATACTATTTTAAAATGTTTCTCTTTATTGTTATTAGGAAACTTGAAATCTTGAGGATTGAGCATAGAATCCAGCTTCAAGAGATGAAAAACCGCCTTAGTGAGACAGTCAACCGATATGAAGCACAAATTGAGAAGTTAAAGGCAGATAAAGAGAGTTCACATTTCAATGAGAGTGAAGGCAGACATTCCATTAAACGTATGAAAAAGAAATATCATCTCAGTTTAATTTTTTTCTTTCATCTGGGGTGAAGGCTGATAGGGGATCGAAAGCCTAGAACTGGGACTTGTTGATTTAGTAAGGGGTGCTATCTGGCAAAATATAGTGACATGCATTGATTTTTAACTACTAAACCATACACTTTAATGAGCAAATATTCAATGTAGGATGCCTGGGCTTTTTTGGTTTTACTCTCACCTCACCCTCATACTTCTCAGCTTAACTATGTATAATTGTCTTTGAGCCCTAAAATTATGCCTAGGCCTATTAAAAGTAAATAATCCCCTACTCTGCTATTCGTCTATATTATTAAATAAATAGAATCACACCAGCTCAGAGGCTCACCATTTAAGTGGTTTTTTTTTAAAGTGAACTCAAACATGTTTAGCAGCTAATGCCAACCTAGGTGTGTTTGAAATGTTTAAGTAATATATTGGTCTTTTTTTTTAAAGATTCATCGTCAAATAGGCATAAATTTTTCCAAAATCCGGATACATCTCAAGAGTTACTCAGTTTTCCAGAGCTTATAACGCAGTCACAGTCCTTCCAGTATGAGGTATATTGTTTTTTTGGTTTTTTTTTAATGCTAGCCACTTGGGTTTCTTGTAATGATTAAAAATATGTTTGCCTTTGTCTATTTATTAGTGGTTAAAGGCAGGTTTAAAGCAATGTAAATGAGTAGCATTATCGATGACGATCATTATTTTTTTTTGCTACATTTGTTTCAGCGTCCTAATTCCAGGGCTTCCGTGACGAGTAGCTTTGTTGCTGAAAACAAGAAACACACTAACGATCTGGAGAAACTGCTCAATCACCACATCACAGATCTTGAGAAGAGAACTGATGAGACAATAGGTCGCTATATTCCTAAGCCAAACACTGGTACAGACGTTTAATGTGTCAATCACCCAGTGATTTTATTTTAATAAAATGATGGCAGATCCAAAAAGCATAATCCACAAATGATTATAGTATTATATAATTTAAAATTTAAATAATCTTTAAAATTACAATAACATGTAAATTAACACAAATATGAATTGAACACTACATTTTATAGTAAATAAATTTTCCAAAATGAGTATGTTTATTTTTCTATGTACAATGATGTGTCAATTATTTCATCTGTCTTTTCCATAGAGATTCATATGAATAGCATCATATTTGTTTATTGCGTATCCTGTAAAGTCCAACTCAGACAGCATTGTACGGTACAGCCCGACACGATTTGTCGTCGGGAGCAGTCTTTAGGTTGTCATGAGAGTAT